AAACAACTTTGTTATATTGCTAGTGGATGGGTCTCATCGATGCACATGTAATATGATTATAACTCATGGATATCCGTGCTGATATTTTTATAAGGTTTTACGTTGTTCTACTCAGGCTAAGTGGCATATAGACTTATTGCACCACGTTGGTATAAAGAAAATTTTTTTGATGGCAATGATATTTGGCAGCAATTACCAATTACTATATGCGTAAATTCAAGCCAAAATCAAGGTCAGAATATCGTTGAACAATCGGTACACAAATTTGATTACATAAAACAAATCCGAAGTACCGAAGTTTATAATCCAACATTAAGAAATATCAATAATACATGACAAATGTATGGTAGAGGGCAAGGTATCATGCGAAAAGCACTTGATATGGCAATTGCAACTAGTTCATATGATGAGTTGATGTTATTTTCCATAGGTTTATAATGGACAAACAAGCAAGTCAAGAATCAGATACAATGATGAATGATCTTGAATACAATATTAAAAATCCTGTAATTAGCACACGAAAAGGACGGCCACCCGGCAGAGCTAAAAGTAATGTTGAAATTCAAAATCAACAGGTTAAAAAAAGGCAACATTTTACTGAAGAACATGAAATTCAAGAAAAAGATACTAGAAAAACATGTCAAAATTGTGGAAATAAGGGCCATAATAGGGAAACATGCAAAATTAAGAATTAGTTATTCATAGCATAGTTTTATTGTTGAAATATGTATTATGTGTGTTGTGTAATCTGCATTGTCAATTGAAAAAGAATGCTGTTTGTGATGTTTTACTAAATTCATACGTACATTCAAATTATTTGATAGTGATAGCGATATCTACGTACGTATGAACTTCGATAAGTAATTTGTTTGCTTTTTTTAGATTGTATGTATGGCATTATAATGAGAAGAATGGTAATGACTAATAGGGTTTGTATAATATTTTGTTGTCAATAGAAATCAGGCTTGATTCCTGTTAACGGCAAACCAATATATGTAATCGGTAAGTCTTTATACGTAGATCGATATATGGAAGATTGAAAATCATGCGATACAGAAAGGATAGGTAGCATTTATTCGCTTTTAGTTATTTAGAGCGCAAGCAACTTTTTGTTTCACTTTTTATAGTATGGTGTATTTTTTGAGATTACTAATAGTCAAAGTTGTGATATAGTGTTGACTAATTCTAACTATCG